GTCTCAAAAAAAAAAAAAAAAAATTATAAAATTAACAAAAATAATATAAAACTCATTCTGGCGAAATAGCCACATGGCAGCCAAAAACTGTATATTCCCTTCTTGTTCTCCTGCCCGTTGGTGCATTCTTTCCAAAAATCAGGACTTTTTAAAAACGCCACGGGACGCGGGACAAATTGTTGAAAAGCGGGACCCTATACTCACAGTTCCTATGCAGAGGGGCCGCACCATGCGTGCAGGATCAGTCAGGAGGAAGCACAAAGGGAGCACAAGGTGGGCAGGAACCTTTGTTGTGGTTTCCTTGGGAAAGGCAAACAGGGTAAGCAGGTTTAGGATTGGTTAATTTGAATACTTTCCACAGGCTGTGGGGCATAGGGACTGTCCCTAGATGTCTGGTACCCGGCCCTGCGGTAATTAGAGCAGGTGGATAGTGACCCAGAATGCGAGAGCCCACTCAAGGAGGTATCTGGGTTGTATTCTCTGGTTTGCATATGGAAGGCCCACTCTAGTGTTTACTATCTTTAGGAATCAGCCAGCCTTCGTAGAGACAGTCTCTCCTGTGTCAGCAAGGTCCCAAATGTCAAAGCATCAAAATAAAACAATATGCTTCATACAACAGTCTGTAGGGAACTCAAACTTAGCCTGCAGGCCATAGATGAATGGTCATGTTTGATGGGGCATATGTTTTTAATCCCTCACTGCAAATACCTTGGATAGAGCGTGAGTGTAATCTCCAGTTGGCCTCAGTTCCCTATTGCCTTCTAGCAGGCCACTCACATATTTATATCGTCTGTTAGCTCTACAGTTTATGCTCGCATCTCCAGTTCTCACATAAGCAGTGTACAGCCTGGGTGACCTTGTCCTCTGTGACTTTACAATTCACTCAGAATCCACCTTACTGACCTGCCTGGATTTCTGAGAATAGGTTGTAGTCCATTTCCTCCCTGTGGTCCTGCACTGTCCTGCCTTCTCAACTGCAGAACTCCCCTCTAAAGTTATGGGAATCACCTCACCCCTGCAGAACACCTTCCCAAGCTTCATTTACAAATTCCTAAAAAGTGGGGGAACAGCTATTCCTTCCGTTTTAGAGATGGGAACGTCAGTACAAATGACATGACTCGGAGTGTGTGGTGGTGAGTGGCACAGTCTGAGGCTGGAGCCAAACCCTCTGTCCCCTGCCCCAACTCCTTTTTTGGTCCATCCTGTCCCTACAGGGTCCAGGGAGCATTCAGGGCTGGGATAAAACTGGTTTTTGGACAAAGATGCTCATTTAGTCAAATAGCAGACATTTAAAGAGAACCTACTACATCAGGGTCAAATACTAGATATAGGAATGGAGGGGATAAAAGAATGAGGTGTTAACCCTGAGCCCTGGAAGCAACTGGCCAGGAGAAGACATGAAGTCTTCATCAGAAACTGCTACGAGAAAGAAGGTGACCAGCCCTGCCTGGGTGCAGTGGGCTGGCTGGCCGGTTGTACTTACCTTGTAAGTGTCCAGCTGGGTGGATCTGCATTTTCACTAAACATTGGGATGTTAAGCTTCATGTTGACACTAAA